GGTAATGTTGTCTACCCAAAAGTGAAATGAAGTTACAAAACAGAATAATACACGCTTTTTAAAAGGCACTTTTATCTAGGAGAACAGATGAAAAGCTCTCCAATTGTTACAGTAGTAGTAGGCTCTATTCCTTTCAGAATTATTCTACAGCTTTATATTCTGTTCATCTCCTCAAAGATAATATGAATGTTCAATATGAGTCTTAATTTGCAAGGGGTAAAATCTCTTTCCCCCATTAGGGTTTGTCGATGTGGTGCTAAAAATGGTGCTTTATGATCCCTGGTACCAAAAAAAAATATGGTGCTTTAGTTGACTGGTGGATAATTGATCCTCTGACGCTGACAACACTTAGGAAAATGAAGGTATAAATGACAGGAGTGTTGCATAGCTGCCAGAGTGATCGGCCAGCCTGAGGTCCGTGGAACGGGAGCGGCGCCTCAGCAGACATAGACCTGCCACATTGGAGGTGAGATGGGGTGGCCGGGGGCCGGGCCAGACGGTGGGGAGAAAAGCAAAGAGACACCAAGGCAAAGAGACTCATCATCATCTCCTTTGCCCATGGACTGGTGAGGACATTTGGGCTCCATGCTGGGAAAAAAAATCCCTTGCCAGGGACTCTGGAACATACTTTTGATGGTCAGTACCATTTAGGGATTGCCTTGGATGCATGACACTTTGACTTTGGGAAGAAATGGCAGGCAAATGTGTTGCAGGAGTCGGTGAGAAATGAGGGAGATTTCAGTGCTCTTTCCAGGGTGTGGGGCAGGCTTCTGGGGCAAGACAGGAGCCGGCTAGATTCTATCAGCCGTGGTCACTCTGCCATGGGTTGGAGAGCCAAGTGGCTGTGCAAATCAATACCGCTCATCGACTGCTCAGACAGAACTGATTTAATGTAATTGCCTGGAAATTGATAATATTTTGATTATGTGCTCAATGGCAGCCACTCTAATTTTAGATACAGCCATCTGCCCTAGGATCCTTCCATTATTCCACACCTGTCCCTTCATCCTTGCTTGAATGGTCCTGAAGTGTTTGTTTTTATTTTACCACAAGCTGACACTTTCTGGAAGGAGGTGGATGTCGTCCTTTTGAAAGATGGTTCGAGGTGCTTCCTCATTAAACATTTAGATCTGGGGCTGGGAATCTAGCTCAGACGTAGAGCGCTTGCCTAGCGTGCATAAGGCCCTGGGTTCCATCTCCAGTACCACAAAAACAGATTTACTTTGAGTGGGAACACTACTGGTGAAATGGATTATACACTAAACCAGGATGTCAATGCTTTGGGGTTCTCCATTCCAAAGCAGAATATTTCTGAAAGGTAAAAGATTTTTCCCCCTTAGGTTTTCAAAAGTGGCCTTGTTGGGCCGGGGATTTAGCTCAGTGGTTTCGCCGTCTGCTGCACAAGCGCAAGGACCCGAGTTCAATCCCCGGTACCAAAAAAAAAAAAAAGTGCCCTTGCTAATTCGAGTACTTGAGACCTGACCTTTGTCATTAGCTAACAGTGTGTATCTGTAGAATTCTCACAGCATTCATGGCACGAAAGCTGGCAAAAGGTGCCAGCTGATGAGGAGCAAGTGCCCTTTTATCCTGAATCCAGAGACCTAGAATCTATCCAATCACAAAATTATACATGCAGAAAGCTGGCTGGTACTTTGCATGATAGATTTCAAACCACAGAATGCTCTCAAAGTCACCCTGGGGCTGGCAGGATTGAGTTAGACTTCACCCAGTGAATTTTACCTTCTTAGATTATCCTATGAGATGTGTCTGTCAGCACCTCTTTTGTCCTTGGCTACATACCCTCTGTTCTTACCTTACCATAGGCTGGACAATTCTTCTTGTTCTCCCCTTGGTCCAATGGGATATGGCCATCCCATGGATCACTTTTGCACAGCCCAGGGATGCTGGAGAGTCTGGACCCAAAAGTTGTGTCTCTTGCTTGGCCAAACTGTGTGGTTATCAGCCTCATTTTGAACAAATGGGGTGCTACTGTGCTTACAATGACTTGACCCCCACACACAAGGTCTGCCCTCTGATGAGGTCATTTCAACTCTTCAAAACCACTGGGTATGCAGAGGAAGGTGCTGATCATGCAGGTGTTCCTGTTTGTTCCCTTTTTTACTTCCTCAGAGGCCCAGTGACAAAAAGCAAAGGCTTTTTGATTTTTCAAAACCCTTTCCCACATGCAGGTGGTGAATTCTGAAGCGCCCCATGAATAGGGAGTGCTGTGAATGGGGTATTGTATCTGAGGCCCTGGCTCGGGAGCAGGATGAAGTCTGCTGGCCTGGCAACTGGGGGCCTGTTCTGAAGTACCCACTCAGAAGCTAATTTATGGAGGACTGTAGAAAAAGCCCTCTCTTGGCTTTTTTCCTCTGTTTTAAATGAGAATGGTGATGTGTGCTCTGGAGGGTGAGTGTGAGGGTGCTGTTCAAGATAGGAGGGCACCAGGGCTGGGAATCGCTTGGACCACCCTAGGGAGAGGGCTAAGAGGAGAGGAGGCCAAGGGAGAGCTTGCTCGGGCCAGGAGAAGAGTCTGGCCTTCACTCTAGAGGAGGTGAAGCAAAGTGAGGTGATCAGGGGCAAAAGCCCCCATCTTTAAAAGATGAGCAGCAAAGAAGGCAAGAGAACTGGGCTGAGCCAGGCATGGTGGTGCACACCTGTAATCCCAGCTCTTGGAGACTGAGACAAAAGGATCACCGTGAGATAGAGGTCAGCCTGGGCTACACAGACCCTGTTTCCAAAAAAGGGGATGGCATAGCAATGTAGCTCAGAGCAAAGACCTTGAGTTTGTTCAATCCCAGAGAGAGAGAGACAGACAGACAGGCAGGCAGAGACACACAGACACAGACAGAACCAGGCTGCCTCTGGGAGGCAGTGAAGTGTTTTTTGTCAAGAGGCTTCCTGTGTCAAAAAAATCTCCCTGCTTAGAAAATTCCACTTCTGGGGAGACCTCCTGGACCAGTTTGGAGAAGAGGCAGCCACATGTCATATGGTGTGAGAAGGACAGAAGACTGCAGATCCTCTGCCTGAGAAGCAAAGGCCAAAGTGAGATGCAAAACATCTCTAAAAGGTGTGATGTGTGGCATGTGGGTGCAGGTGTAGAAGCTCTGGGTGACAGCAGGTGGACATGAAAGAGGCAGTGCTGGGTGCAGGTCCAGGGTTCCTCTTTTCTCTGGCCACAGTCCTTACTGGAATAGTAGAGGTTTCACAGATACAGTCATGTGTCACTCAGAGAGGGGTGTGTTCTGAGAAGTGCACCTTGAGGCTGTTTCATCATTGTGCAAACATCATAATGTGCGCAAGCACACACTAAGATAGCTGCAATGTCACTGGGCTACATAAGCTTGGCGAATCACTGTAGTATATGTGGCCAGTGATTGACCAAAACATTGTTATTCAGCACATGTCTACATTTGTAGGATAAGGGGATTTGCACTTGACACAATGAGGAAAAACTCCCTACAAACAGCCTAGAAGGCTGGGATGCAGCTCACTGATAGATCACTTGCATAGCATGTACTTGGCCTTGGATTCAATCCCCACCACCTCGAAACAAAAAAGCAAAATCCCTGCCTAGAAATAGGACAGAATGGCTTGTAGGTAGTGAGCTCCCTGTCACTCAGTGGCAGCAAATGCTCTCCCAGCAGGAACTGGCCAACTGAGGGTGGTGGTGAACATCAAGGAGGGGCTGACCACTGATCCCTGGATAGCTCTGGAGGTACAAGGATCTCACTGTGGGTACTCCCTGGGGTGCAGAGACACCCCTGGGTTGCTGGAGACCACGGAGTCTGTGGAAAGGGGGATGACGTCCTGAGAGGACAGTGCATCCAGAAGAGCAAGATGGATTCCTCCAGTGCTGGCCCTGCCTGCAGAGATCACCTCTTACCAGGACTAGGGAGGAGGAAATGAAGCCACAGGAGCCATCACTGGAGAGGAGGGGGGTGCTGCATCCCCATGGAGCAGATATCCTGCTGAGAGAGAGGATTTTCTGGAGATGAGAAGACAGAAGACTCAGTTCCCCCTCCCAGGCCAGCGTCCATCCCAGGCCAGTCTGCGCTCATGGCCAGGCACCTCCCAAGCCACCGTGGCTCTTTCCCTGCTGCCTTTTCTTTCTCTAATCTCTGATTGTGGCATCAACCGGCCCCAATTAGGAGTAATTACACGATCTATGAGAAGATTCTGGCTCACTGGCTCCTCAGGCTCTCTAATCTCTTCCAGGGCTAAAATTTCTCAGTGAAATCTAAACATCTGGAGCAAGACTTACAATCTTTCTTCCTTCTCTCTAGATCTACCCAAAATGAAACAGGATGAGCTCACTCTCCAAGAGGGTCAATAACAGGTGACCACACCAAAGGTTTCTAGGGAGTTCCCTATATGCCAAGCTACTCACCAAGGTGCCTCACACACCTGATCCTGGTGACCTGATGCAAAGAGATGGTTACCTTCTCCACTTTATGGTTGAAGAAACTGAGGCCCAGAGAGGTGAAGCCATGCATCCTGGACACATAGCTAGTGACTGCATGGCCAGGAATTGAACTTAAACTTATCTGACTGAGAGCTGAGATTTTACCCCTGGTCCCTGTGGTCAGTGCCACATTGCATGGGGTGACTCAGGGGCCCTAAGGGAAGGTGCTTTTTCCTCCCCCATCCTGTGCTGAGGCTGAGTTCTACCTCTTGTGCTCTTACATCAAGGGGCCATTTCACTACTATCACTGGCCTTTCCATTTGACTTGGTGAAGTGGCCGGGACAGCCTTATCGTGCCCATTTTACAGATGAAGATGTCAGAGGTAATGGCTGGCAGAGGTAGAAACTTGAATTGAAGTCTATCTGACTTCCAGAGTATAGGTTCTTTTTCTTACCCCACAGTTTCCAAAAGACAAAGACCATGGCTTGCCATGGAGCTGAGTCCCAAACTGAGCCCAGCTGACAAATGGCATCCTCGTGGCTGTGACAGGCCTGACTGTCCCCTCCTGTCCCTCTCCAGGTGCCACCCCAGGGGTGAAGGATGCCACTCTGGGTGTTCTTCTTCGTGATCCTCACCCTCAGCAGCAGCTCCCACTGCTCCTCACCTGTCTCCCTGCCCCTCAGGTAAGCAGGCCCTGGACCCCCACGCCCCTGAGCCATCCCTGACAGAAAGGCAGAGATGCAGAGGAAGATGAAGAATTGAGCCCCCCACTGGCCATCTGCTATTTCTTCAAATAGTGCCCATTGCCCATCTTGAGGAGAGTGCCAGACACTGAGCTCCAGAGAGGTTGTTCAGCAAACTCTGAGCTCTCTGGGGGTGAATGGGACATGGAAGCAGAGGAAGCTTGCAGAAACATGGTGAGTCCAGCCCCCACTGTCCTCTCACCTGCCCTTCCCAACTCCTTGGCACAGGATGCGGCGGTACGCAGATGCCATCTTCACCAACAGCTACCGGAAGGTGTTGAGCCAGCTGTCTGCCCGCAAGCTGCTCCAGGACATCATGAACCGGCAGCAGGGGTGAGCAGAAGCACCAGGGATCTCTTCCCGCCCCCTGCGCATCAGAGTATGGGAGGCTGATGCAAGAGGCCAGGGACCAAGCTTGGTCTCTTCCCACATGCAGTGTCTGTCATTTCTGAGCTTTTTTTTTTGGTACCAGGGATCAAACCCAGGACCTTGCACTTGCAAGCCAGGTGCAGTGCCACTGAGCTAAATTCCAGCCCTGTTAGTTCTGAGCTTTACATAACAGAAGGGCATCAATGTCAAAGCTCAGCTTTCTTCCACACTACTGTGTACTTCTCTCTAGGCCAGGCCCCAACAGTAACAGTGCCTATGGCCATCACCATCTCACTGTGACTCTGTGACAGAAACAGACTCCGCACAGGGGTGTGTGTACGTTCAGCTGTGTGCTGGGCACACAGGAAAGCTTTTGTGGTGTGAGCCACTATTCTCAGTTTCTTCTCTGATTTTTGTAACAATCCACAAAGTAGGAATTCTTACAGATTTGCTAATTCTAAGAGTGGCAGAGCTAGGATCCAAACAGCCTGATTCCATAGCTTGTACATTTTTTAGTTTGTTTTTAGAAAAAATTTCAAAGTGCTAGGCATGTTGCAAACCCAGGGTCTTCACACTGGACTTGCAGTCCCAGTCTTTCTAAAATTTATTTTATTTTGAGTTAGGATCTCACTAAGTTGCCCAGGCTGGGCTCAAACTTTCCATCTTCCCAGAGTGCTGGGATTACAAGCACACACCACCATGTCCAGCTTATTATTACTTTTCTTTATTAGTTCATGTTTTCGGTATATAATATTTACATTCTTTGTGTGGAGTTGGTGCATGTACTTAACATTTCTAAATTCCTTTTATTCATCCCCTTTTCCTTGACTCCCTCCCACCATTTCTTGACTCCTTTCCCATTTGAGGAGATCTATCTCCTTACTTCCTATTATCTATCTTTCATTTTGCTCCTTATTTGTAATTCTGGAAACATTTGAATATAAATTGCACCATGACCCTCTCCCCTTGGGTACTTCTGCACCTGTCTCTTAGCTCCTAACAAAGGGCATCCCCTTACATAGCCACAGTATAATTATCATTTATAATCCATATTCAGATTTCATTAGTTGTCCCCAAATCTCGTGTAACAATTATTTCTTTTTCTAATCCAGTATCCAACCTAGGGTCATGGTTTCCATTTAGTTGATTCTTTTTAGTTCTTTTCATCTGGAGTAGTTCTTCAGTCTTCCATGGGATTGAATTTTCTGACTAGTAAAGGCCAATGTCTTATAGACTGTCCCTCACAGTGAAGTTGCTGGAGGCATCCTCATCTTAGATCCAGGTTACGCACTCACAGATGTGATGATGTGTCCTTCTCGGTGCATGTCAGGAGGCACCAGGTGTCAATTTGTCCCATTATTGGTGGATTCCTGATGGATGATAAATTTGACTACTTGGTTACCCTGGTGTCTGCCAGGTGAATTAATCTGTGAGGAGAGTTTTGCAACTGTGTACACTTGTATTCTGTTCTCTTCTTTACCATATATTCTGTACCTTTCAGTGTTGCTGAATCTAATTCAGTTGTGTGGAAGAATCTATCAAACACCGGAATAGGCATAGAGATGTATCCCTGCCCATACACATCCTACCCAGTAGAAACTTAAACTGTTTCTCTTTTTCTAACCATATAGAAAGAGGAACCAGGAGCAAGGAGCAAGGATACGGCTTGGCCGTCAGCTGGACAGCATGTGGACAGACCAAAACCAGGTAGCATTGGAAAGCATGCTGGTGGCCCTGCTGCAGAAGCACAGGTAGGGATGTGTGTGTGTGTGTGTGTGTGTGTCTGTATCTAGGAACCTCAGAGACTTCTTTTCTTGTGGGTTGCCTGGTAAAGGAAAGAATTCCCTCCTCTCCAGAGATGTGGGGCTTTACCAAGTGATCCAAGAACAAGGGCCTCCTTCCACACAAGAGCTACAGGAAGAAAAACAAACAAACAAACAAAAAAAAGAGCTACGGGAAGGGGAGAAAACTTGTGTTGGAGGCTGCATGATACCCTCTCCTGTATGTCCAGTGTGGAGTTAGAAGTCTGGGCCAGGAAAGGCTACTCACTGAGTGGTTATGGAATAGGTCCTAGAAACCTGAATTTCAATAAGTGTCCTAAAGGATGCTGATGTGGGTGATCTGAGAAGTATTCCCTGGATCATCCGCCAAGTTTACAGAGTAATAAAGCCAAAGACAAGTCGGCTTTCCCATCCTCTGTGATAGACCAGTGTGTGCAGGCACACTGTCACCAGTGGGAGATGATCATGACAGTAGTGTCCCATCTCCATGGCCCTCACATTTCCACTGGGAGTCAAGGAGGATTAGGAATGAGTTTTCCTCTTTTATGGAAGAGGGAAAGGGAGGCAAAGAAGGGGTTGCAGTTGGCCCCAAGTAAGGGACTGGCAAGCCCAAGGCCTGCATTTTTTCCCTGGAGCATCTTCATGCAACATTCCACTTCTTAGTCAAAGTTTCCCAAGGATGGCTCAAGTATTGTAGCAAGTGGAGAAAAATTGCTATAGTTTAGAGCTTTTGTGTGTGTGTGGTGCTGGGGGTCAAACCCAGGCCCTTGCACATGGGAGGCCTAAGTGTTCTACTTTGATGTATCCCCAGCCCTGGAGCCTGATTTTCCTTTGAGCACAAGCATGTTCCAGCAGGGCTATGGTGGGCACTTCTGCACCAACCTATTAAGCAAATCTGGTTCCCAACAGAGCTCTCCATCTTTTTCCTCACCTTCTTCCAAACATAATCAAACACTGAGAGCCCAGAGATCTCACCAGCAACAACCTGTGGTGGTCCAAGCAGCAGAGGCACAACCCTTGTCCAAGCACAGGGGATAATCATGGTGGGGTGACAGTCAGGTGGGAAGCACGATCCAGACCAGGGCTTGGTTCTGCCACCGACTCCACCTGTAGTGATAGGTGGCTTCCTCATATCCTCCTCTACAAGAAGAACATAAGCAGGTTAGCTCTGATCACCTCTGAAGTCCCAAAGGCTAGAATTGTAAAGATATTGCCTCTGAGCAGGATGCCCAGCTGCACCTCTCAGGCTTGGGTGAGATACTCACCTGCTATGGCTCCCTGGTCTGAGGAAGCCAAATCTAAAAAGGAGGGGTTTTTTTTCTGCAGGTTCAAAGCCAGAGACCTCACAGAGCTCACTGGAAGGGGCCTGGAGGCTGCTCCAGCCATGGTTCCCTACAGCTCAAGCAATGCAAATTCAGGGTATCACCAGCGGGCTGAGAACATGAAATAAGAATGTGTGCTTAGACCTTTATAATGCAGAGTAGAGCGGAGCAACAGACACATTTTGTACCCCTCACACCTTGTGTTCTCCTCACAGTCCCAGAAGGAAGTTGAGGTTCATGTTCAGCCATCCTCCCACCCTGTAAAAGCCTTCCAGTGACTATGACATGCCAGGCTCTGGGCTGGGAATCAGCAGTGGCCAGGACAATAGTGGCCCCTGCTGTCATGGAATTGATGATGAGGCAACCAGAACTCAACCAAGTTCTAGAGCAGTCAATTACTCAATTTGTGATCAACAGAAAGAGATGCAAGGGTGTGATGAATGTTGGCTGGGAGAAGGCCTATCCTGCCTGGGAAGTGACCAGTGCAGGGACTCAGTCAGTAGGAGGTGGTTGGCAGAACAGGGGCTATGACTTGGCTACACTTTGCTGGCAGCCATAGCTATCCAGCACCTCTTGAAACCCAGGCAGCCAGCTCCTCCCCCAGAGGACTTATCACCCTAGTTTGAGGGGTACTGCCCTAACCTACCCTTCATGCAGTCTCTGACTGAGCTTTCTTTTTCTTTCTGCAGGCGGAATTCCCAAGGATAAAGACTCCAGCTGAAAGTTGGGCCACTGGTACCCAAAACACAACTGGATCCAGTTAATCCTATTTCAGTTCTGACCTACTTTTTCCTTTGTATATACAATAAAATTCTCCCATACTGGTCTGCATTTCAATTTTCTTTTATCATCAGCCTGTTTATGTGTTTTGCTTAGTTATAAACCAGGAAGGGAGGATGGAAATTGCCCAGTCACAGCTGGCAAGGGAGAGAGCTCAAATGCAAACCTGGGCACTTCAGCCCAGAACCAGGCTCTTAGCCACAAGCATTTACCTGGGGCAAATCATCCTTCATCCAAATGATCTCTTGCTCATTTGCAAGCAACACCATTTGTTCATTCAATAAATATTTATAGAGCACCCACTATAGTACTGTTCTAGGCACTGGGGAGATAGCTGCGAGCAAAGTCTCCAAACTTACAGACCTTATATTCTAAGAGGGGAGGTGATAAATGTAAGCAAGTACAGATGATGTCAGATGAAGGTCAAGTACAAAGGAGACTTGGGTGTGGTGGGAGCACTGGAGGGTGTTGCTGGACTCCAATCCATATATGTGCACGTCTCAGTAATGAGGTGACATCTGAGCATACGTGAAGAAAGAGAGGGACTGGCTTTAGGAACATCTTGGTGAAGAACTTTCTAGGCAAACTCATCACAAAAGCCTCAAGGCAAAAGCATGGCAGGACGAATATTAAGGTCAGCTTGGCCAGCTACAGCAGAGTGAAGGCAGGAGCAGGGAAGAACGCGCGACCCAAAAGGAGCAGGAGCCAGCTCCTGGGAACCCTCAGAGGAGCTAAAACTGGGTTTTAAAGATCTAACTGCTTTTATTAGCAATTCATGGATCAGGAGCTCCAATTGGGCAGTATAGGCCAAAAAAAATGGCTGAAGGAACAGAAGGCAGACTGGTTGTTTTTTTCTTTTTCTCATACTGGGAATTGAACCCCCAGAGGAATAAGCTACATCCCCAGCCTTTTTTATTTTTTTGTTTTGAGACATGATCTCATTAAGCTGCCAAGGCTGGCCTCAAATTTGTGATCCTCCTGGCTCAGCCTCCCAAGTAACTGGAATTACAAGTGTGTGTCACTACACCTGGCCAGAATTACTTTCTCTCTCTCTCTCTCTCTCTCTCTCTCTGAATTGAACCCAGGGCTTTCCAGTGAGCTACATCCCCAGTTGAGACTTGTGATCCTCCTGCCTCAGCATCCCAGAGTGCTGTGATTATAGCCACGCACCGTCACATCCAGCTCAGTTACATATATGGTTAAAAATGAGGATTCTCCTTTATCAGTCAGGCTTAGGTAGACTGGGTCTTTTATGTTGGTTGCTGTGAATCTCCTGTTTTTTGGAAAACTGGCCTATTTTACGGTCTAGTTTGATTATGTGGCACCTGGCCTGAGTGAATCCATTCTGGTTTGATCTGGCCTATTGAGTTCTACTGCAGGAGTTCAGTCTAAAACAATAGCCTCCAAGACCTAGAATAGCAAAAGCAATTCTAGGCAACAGAGATGTGACAGGGGGTATCACAATCCCCAACCTGAAACTGTACTACAAAGCCACTGTGATAAAAACAGCATGGTACTGGCAAAGAAACAGACCTGAGGATCAGTGGAACAGATGAGAAGATGCAGACACAACTCCAGACATATTCAGCCACCTCATCTTTGACAAAGGAGCCAACCATCCTCACTGGGGGAAAGACAGCCTCTTTAACAAATGGTCCTGGAAAAACTGGATTTTAACCTGCCAAAAATTAAAACTAGGCCCCTATTTTTCACTATGCACTAAACTAAAATCAAAGTGGATTAAAGATCTAAATATTAAAACAGAAACACTAAACTTGCTTGAAGATAAGTTAGGTAGAACTCTTGAAGACATTGGCATAGGAAAAAACTTTATGAACAAAACCTCAGTAGCACGGGAGCTAGCAGAAAGAATCAACATCTGGGATCTCATCTTATTAAAAAGCTTCTGCAGGCCGGGGATTTAGCTCAGTGGTTCTGCTGCCTGCCTTGCAAGTGCAAGGACCTGAGTTCTATCCCCGGTACCAAAAAAAAAAACAACAAACTTCTGCACTGCAAGAGAAACCACCAACAAAGCTAAGAGACAATGTACGATGTGGGGAAGAATCATCAGCTGTTCCTCAAAGAATATCATCAGCTGTTCCTCAAAGAATCATCAGCTGTTCCTGAAGAATATCAGCTGTTCCTCGAAGGTCTACTATCTAGAATATATAAAGAACTTTAAAAAATCAGACCCCCCCCCAAATATAAAGACCCAATTCAAAAATGGGCATCTGAAATGAACAGACATTTCTCAGACAAGGAAGTAAAAGTAGCAAATAAACATGTGAAAAAATGTTCAACATCACTGGTCATTTGAGAGATGCAGATGAAAACAACACTGAGATTCCACCTCACCCCAGAAAGAATGGCTGCTACCAAGAAATCAACCAATAGCAAATGCTAGTGGGGGTGTGGAGAGAAAGGAACCCTTCTCCATTGTTGGTGGGAGTGCAGACTGGTGCAACCATTGTGGAAATCAACATGGAGATACCTCAAAAAACTAGGATTAGAGGTCCCATTTGACCCAGCTATTCCTCTACTGGGTATTTTCCCAATAGAATTAAATGCATCATACTACAGCGATATAAGTGCATCTATGTTCATAGCAGCACAGTTTGTAAGAGCTAAAGCTTGGAAACAGCCCAATTGCCCATCAGCTGGAGACTGGATAAAGAAAATATGTTTTTAAAAATAAAATGGAGTACTACTCAGCCATAAAGAAAGAGAAACTAGAGACATTTATAGCTAAATGGATGTACATTGAGGCCATACTCTTAAGTGAAATAAATAGGACACATGTGTAAATACCAAATAGTTTCTCTGGTATGAGAAACTAAAACTGTAAATAAGGATCAAATGTATAATTGATAATGTGAAATAGGAAGAAAAGGTCTAAAGGGGTAGGGGAAGTGGGAGGGGTAGGGGAAAGGAAAGAAGGGAAAGGAAAAAATATGAGAAAAGGAAAAAATGGAAACAAAGTCTCTGTAAATAGGGAGGGGTGGAGGGATTGAAGGGAGGTCAGGGGAATAGGGGAAAAATAAGAACCAAGATACATCATGTAAAGGTACAAGTTCCCAATGATGAATGTAACTGTATTGTATACCTAAAATATACCAATAAACTTAATGAATAAAAAGAATCAACAACTAGGATCTCATCTTATTAAAAAGCTTTTGCACAGCAAGAGAAACCATCAACAGAGTAAAGAGACAACCCATAGTGTAGGAAAAAATATTTGGCCAGCTATTCCTCAAAGGACTACTATCTAGAACATATAAAGAACTCAAATCAGACCCTTAAAATTAAAAAACCCATTCCAAAAATGGCCATCTGCAAAGAGTAGATACTTCTCAGATGAAGAAGTAGAAACACACACACACACACACACACACACACACGTTAAAAAAAAGTAGAAACAGCAAATAAACATATAAAAAATGTTCAACATCACTGGTCATTAGAGAGATGCAAATAAAACAATGCTGAGATTCCATTTCACTCCAGAAAGAATGGCTGTTAATCAAGAAATCAACCAATAACAAATGCTGATGGGGCTGTGGGGAAAAAGGAACCCTTCTCCACTGTTGGTGGGAGTGTTGACTGGTGCAACTACTGTGGAAATCAGTATGGAGATTCCTCAAAAAACTATAACTAGAGGCTCCATTCGACCCAGCTATTCCCCTTCTTGGTATCTTCCCAATAGAATTAAAGCATTATACCACAGCAATATATGCGCGCCAAGTTTATAGCAGCACAATTTGTAATAGCTAAAGCTTGGAAACAGCCTAGATGCCCCCCAACTGACAAATGGATAAAGATGATTTTTTTTTTTTTTTGCTACCGGGGATCGAACTTGGGACCTTGCGCTTGTGAGACAGG